TACTAAAACAAACAAACAGACTTCAACTGATGCAAAAGAGAAGACCACTGCAGCTAAAGAGACAAAAAGTGTAGAGAAAACATCTGCTAAAGATTTAGCACCTACAACTAAAGTGCCGGCTACACCTACACTCAAAGCTGAAACTACAACCAAAGGCCCTGCTCTCACCATCTCCAAGGAGTCTGCACCCACCACTCCCAAGCAGCCTGCACCCACCACCACCAAGAAGCCTGCACCAACTACTCCCAAAGAACCTGCCCCAACTACCCCCAAGGAGCCTGCACCCACCACTCCCAAGGAGCCTTCACCCACCACTCCCAAGGAGCGTGCACCCACCACTCCCAAGGAGCCTTCACCCACCACTCCTAAGGAGCCTGCATCTACCACCACCAAGAAGCCTGCACCCATCACCACCAAGGAGCCCGCACCCACCACCACCAAGAAGCCTGTACTCACTACTCCCAAAGAGCCTGCCCCAACTACCCCGAAGGAGGCTGCATCCACCACTCCCAAAGAGCCTGCACCCACCACCACCAAAAAGCCTGCACCCATCACCCCCACGGAGCCTGCACCCACCACTCCCAAGAAGCCTGCCCCAACTACCCCCAAGGAGCCTGCACCTACCACCTCCAAAAAGCCTGCACCCACTACCCCCAAGGAGCTCACACCCACCACCATGGATGAGCCTGCTTTCACCACCCCCGAGGAACCTGTACCCACCACCCCCGAGGAGCCCGCTCCCACTACCCCCGAGGAGCCCGCTCCTACCACCCCTGAGGAACCTGTACCCACCACCCCCGAGGAGCCCGCTCCCACCACCGTGGATGAGCCTGCTTTCACCACCCCCGAGGAGCCTGCTCCCACCACCCCCGAGGAGCCTGCTCCCACCACCCCCGAGGAGCCTGCTCCCACCACCCCCGAGGAGCCTGCTCCCACCACTCCCAAGGCACCGGCTCCCACCACCCCTAAGGAACCTGCTCCAACTACCCCTAAGGAGTCTGCACACAACACCCCCAAGGAGCCTGTACCCACTATGACCAAGGAGCCTGCCCCAACTACCCCCAAGGAGCTTGTAACCACCACCACCAAGGAGCCCACACCCGCCACCTCTGACGAGCCTGCTCCAACTACCCCCAAGGAGTCTGCACCCACTACCCCCAAGGAGCCTGCACCCACTACCCCCAAGGAGCCTGCACCCAC